TACAAGCCTACTCAGCTTCTGGAATTTTGTGGGGAGGTGCTTCAACATGTGTTCTTCAAACCCTCAAAGTTTCAGAATTTTTGAAGCAGTTTACAAGGCATGGCAACATTTTTTACTTTCAAGACTTATGGCATCCCGGAAGTGTGTGTTACTCTTTTTTGGTAACACCCGAGTTCACCATTTCGGCTGCTGACTCATCTACCAAGCTCTGATTGGTCTGAAAATCGGTGTGGCAGTTCTTTTCCGTTGTTTGCAGGTGGTCACCGAGTTTCAGAAAAACCCAGCTTCGGAGCAGCACGTGACAGCTGTCGAAAGTTACTGTTCCGTGGTCATGGTGCACTGTTGGCAGCATTTCCCTTGCCACCCTTTCATTGTTGTCATGCCAATGGTGCAGGGACAGAGAATGAGACAAGAAGTACAGGTGGTCAAGTGGGACTCTACCACCCTCTTTTTGAGAAGTGTGGTCTTCCTGGAAGCAGCTTGCAAGAGGGTGCAAGTGGGAAGACAAGCTGACTCATGGTTGGCTTGACTCACTATTGGTAGCCTTGAGTACAGCTCTGAACATCCAAGTGTGGTTGGCTTTGCTGACCTAGCTAGGACGTTTCCCATCCTTCTCTAGCCTTTCTCCCCTAGGACTCAACCTTCTCTGAGTTCCCAGGATGGTCCCAACCCCTTAAGAGTCCCCTAGGCAATGTTGTACTTACCTCTTCCTTGCATCAATGAAACTACACGTTTTTCAGCCGAGCTTACGTTTTTGTTCACTGTGTAGCGCATACACCTCAAATGAAAGCAAGAAATACACCGTTGGAAAGCATACACCTGAAGCTAAATTTCCTCCAAGATTCAGCGTCGTATGTTGTCGGAGCTGATCGTGACGGCGTTTTGAACAGAGGCGGTTCGAAGTCATCAGATTCTGCTTAGGCGGTTTCAAGGGCATCCGCGACCCCTAAGTGGACTCTAGACTATAACACAAATGTCTGCTGGCCCCTTCCCTTCCTTGGCCCCATTCTGCTCCACTAATCTTGCCAGCAGTGTCAAGGTCACAGTGGGCTCTGGCGGTGGGGGGTTCCGAGAGAGGCCATCCACGTGTTGCAATGTCTTTCCTGGCCTATGCTTGATCTTGAAGTCATACTCCTGCAGCTTCATTGCCCATCTTGCATTCCTGCCCGTCAGCCCCGCGGTTGTCATCAGCCAAGTCAGGGGCTGGTGGTCTGTCACTAAGGTGAATTCCCTCCCCTGCAGGTACACCCTGAAATGCCCCACTGCCCACACGGCCGCCAACCCTTCTCCTATGTAGGAGCTGTATTGTGCCTCCGCCGAGTTGCAGCTCCTGCTCGCATATGCCACTACCTTTTCCTCTCCTTCCACCTCCTGGCAGAGTATCCCCCCCATCCCTTGGCTGCTCCAGTCGGTGTAGAGCGTAAACGGGTGATCAGCGGCGGGCAGCTTGAGTACCGTTGCGGTCTTCACTGCTGCCATCAGGTCCTGCAGTGCTCCCTTCTGTGCTTCTCCCCACTCCCACGCCTTGTCCTCCCGCAACAGCCCATTCAGCACCGCCGCTCTCTTGCCGAAGTTGGGCACAAATCGCCTGTAGTAGCTCAGGAAGCCCAGCACTGCTCTCAGCTCTGACTTGTCCTTCGGCTCCCTCAGTCTGTCCAGGACTTCTACCTTGGCCTGCTGGATCCCTATCTGTCCCCCTTTCACCTCGTACCCCAGATACTGCACTGTCTGTTCCCCCCATCTGCACTTCTTCGGGTGGCAGGTGAGTCCTGCTGCTTCAATCGCCGCCAGGGGATTCTCCACATCCTGCAGGTGTTGTTGCTCGGTTGTGCTGAAGATGACCACATCATCAATGTAGCAGGCCGCGCACTCCACTCCCCGCAACACACTGTCCATGACCCTCTGGAACACTGCTGATGCGTTCCGCAGCCCAAATGGCATGTACAACCACTCATACAGCCCGTCTGGCCCATGAAAGACCGTCTTCTTGATGTCCTCCTCCCGGATCTTGATCTGGTTGAACCCTTGCCGCAGGTCCAGCGTAGTGAAGAACACCCCCTCCGCTAACTTGTCAAAGATCTCTTCCGCCATCGGCATCAGGTACCTGTCTGCTACGGTGATTTTGTTAAGTGCCCTGTAGTCCCCGCACATCCTCCTCAACACTTCCCCTGTCAGGTCTCGCCTGGCTGCCACCACTGTTGGTGTGGCGTATTCGGATTCTGATCTCATAATCAGTCCCGCTTCCAGCAGCTCCTTGATCTTCTCTTTACAGATTTCCTCGTCCCCGGGCGGCATCTTCCTTCTGCGGTGGAACACTGGTTCTGTGCTGCTCAGCTTCAGCTCCATCTCCTTCACTTTGCACCTCCCGAGTTCCTGCATGGTGAAAGCGAAACACTTCCTGTGCCTGGCCAGCAGCTCCTGCATGGCATCCTTTCCCTCCTTGCTCATCGCTTCCCCCACCATCCAGCTCTCCTCCTCCTTCTCCTGGCAGCTCCATGCTCCCCGTGTCTCTGCCTCCGTTCCTTCCTTCCCTTCTTCCTGCCCCCAGCTAACGACCGTCTCTCGCCACATCCACTGAATCAGCCACCTCAGCACGTGGCCATCCATTGCGTTCCCCAGAGCCCTCCTTCTGTCCGCCTCATTCGCCCCGGGTGCTGCTGTTGCATCTTCTCCGTACCCCATAGCCAACTCCCTCTCGAGTGCCGTGGGCTCCTCCCATCTCTGTCTCCCGTGATCATACACCATCCCTGGTCCGGGCTTCCCTGCTTCCCACTTGTACCCTGCTGCCCCCACATATGCCACCAGAGTGGGCAGTGCTCGCCTCTCCTGCCCCACTTGGTTGCATTGCTCATGCCTGCTGTAGCTCTTGTGACACACCGGCGCTGGGGTACGCCCTGGCGCCAGGATGTCCTGCACCTTCCTCTCTGCTGCTCGCCTCACCCCATCCACCTCTGCTTGCAGCTTCACAGCAGGGACCACATTCTGCCAGTACCTTCTGAGCCTGTGCGCATAAGACCCCATTCTGGCCGCATCACAGCTCACCCCTTCTCCCAGCTGCCCCCTGATTCTGTCTCTCACCAGTCGGATCGGCTCTCTGCTGTCTCCCTCCAGGTCCAGGTTTTCTAGCAAGTATGCCACCCTACCCTGCCTCTCCTGCAGCCACTCCAGGATTCGGAACAGCTCCTCCATCAGCCTTTTCCTGTGATCTTCCTCTCCCTTCCCCTTGCCTGCCCACGACACCCCTTGACATTCCCACCCTGCCACCAGCAGATCCACCTGCCCCCAGCTCGCCACCTCCGCCTCACTTATCTCCTTCACATCGTGGATCGTCCCTCCCATGGCTTCTCTAATCACCCTCTCACTCAGCAATTTGTGCTGACTTGGGAGACATGGGTTGTGCTGACTTGGGAGACATGGGTTGTGCTGACTTGGGAGACATGGGTTGTGCTAACTTGGGAGACATGGGTTGTGCTGACTTGGGAGACATGGGTTGTGCTGACTTGGGAGACATGGGTTGACATGGCAGATATGGCGGGTGGTGCTGTTGCCTAAGTTGAGGGCTATTATGCACACACGTGTGGACTAGGATGACTTGTGGTAACAAGTTCTGCAATGCTTGATTAATCCACATTCATGCATATCAGTCACAACGTCCTCCCTTGCTTCGGCCTTCTCACATGCAACCTTGCATCTACACCTCTTACCTCACCAAGCCTTAATTTCAAAACCACATTCATGCTCCTCATCAAGCCTTACTTTCAAGGCCCCAATCAGGATCCCTGAATACATTTTTTATTTTACAAAGTTTACCCTAAACCCTAAACCAGGGGAAATTGAAGGCACAAACGCGTGATATGATGCAATGTTAGGACTGTCACAAGAGTGACCACCCCCGAAACTCACGACAATTGCATTCTGTATGTCTCCAAACTCAAACTGGGGTCATACAAGCGTGACTTAGCAAGCGTGACTAAGGAGTGTGGTGTTTGTTGTGGCAGCAGACGCATGGAGATGCAAGCAGTGGGTGGGTGGGCGCGATTGGGGTTGGAGGTGTTACTGTCGGTCGGTTAGGTATGAGCAAAGGCCGAACACGAACGTGTTCAATTCGAACATGTATGTTGAGCGAACACCAACAAGTATGTTGAGCGAACACCAACAAGTATGTTGAGCGAACACCAACATGTATGTTGAGCGAACACCAACATGTTCGGTTTGACCCGAACACATTCAGGGAGGGGAGGTGATCAGGTGTTCACCTTTATAGGCGAACACCTTCATGCTCGCCTCGAACACGAGAATGACGGTGTTCGAATATTCAAGGCTCCCGAAACCCTAATCCGCCATAGTCATGGGCAAACCGGCGAGAAAGCGCCACAATGGGGCGAGAACGAGAATGGGATCCGTGAGACATGCTACGTAGGAGTTTGTGTGCCCTCACGCTATGATGATTCAGTGTGCCCTCACGCTAGGATGATTCAGTGTGCCCTCACGCTAGGATGATTCAGTGTGCCCTCACGCTATGATGATTCAGTGTGCCCTCACGCTATGATGATTCAGTGTGCCCTCACGCTATGATGATTCAGTGTGCCCTCACGCTATGATGATTCAGTGTGCCCTCACGCTATGATGATTCAGTGTGCCCTCACGCTATGATGATTCAGTGTGCCCTCACGCTATGATGATTCAGTGTGCCCTCACGCTAGGATGATTCAGTGTGCCCTCACGCTATGATGATTCAGTGTGCCCTCACGCTAGGATGATTCAGTGTGCCCTCACGCTATGATGATTCAGTGTGCCCTCACGCTAGGATGATTCAGTGTGCCCTCACGCTATGATGATTCAGTGTGCCCTCACGCTATGATGATTCAGTGTGCCCTCACGCTAGGATGAGAATCTTCATGATTCTCGCTGGTCTTCTCCCTAGACTACGCTAAGCGCCCTTTTGCGCCATCCCTAGGCTAGAGTAGATTAGGTTAAGAGCATGTGAGTGGTCGAACGTGTTACATCCTACGGCAATTGTGGACGTGAGTTACCTCCAAGCGCCTTGTGATGCCACGCTGCACCACGCGGTTGCCACACGTGCGGCCGCATCTGCATTTGACAAAGCACTCCTTGATGAACGTGCGCACGGGATGCCCGGGGCACGCCACACACGCCTCAAGGGCCCTCGCACGACAGTCACCCAGCCTCACTGGCGCCATCGCATCCCCGGGCAAGTGGTGTTGGGCCATCGCATCCATGGCCTGCTTCAGCTGCGCTGCATTCACGGGGCACCACAGCAAGCGCTCAGGACGGCAGAACTGCCTGTTGCCCCTCCGCTCCGCCTCGTCGCCCTGCTCCACCTCCATCTCCACCGTCCTCAAGAAGGCGTCCGTGAGAGTGCCATCCCTCGTGTACGCCCAGTTGCCCCGCAGCGGCGCCGTGCATTGGCAGTGGATGTGGCCCATGCAGTCCTCTGGGCAGCCCTCACAGAACGTGTCGATGCGATCCAACGCGCTGCATGGCAGCCACACGTGCACTCTACATGTTAACTTCTCACTCCACCAATCACGATCGAACATATTCACGATGGCTCGTAACCTTACCCATATTTCACGGTAGGATTTTGCTTCCATGGAAATGGGAAGCAGATGAGAGCTCACATGACGTATTTGACTTTGTGGCTGGCAGGCACGCTCCTCTCCATGTACATCCACGTGGCGGGCGGCTGCTCGTGGCTGTGCTCGTTCACCCACAGGATGGGCACGGCCTCCTTGCCCAGCGAGATGTCCTCTCGCGGGGGAACCAGCCTGCGCGCCCCCCTCGCCCTGCCCCTCGCCCTGCCCCTCGCCCTGCCTCCAACCCCCCATCCCCTTGTGCCCCCTAAGTCGCCTCTTCCTCTTCCGCCGCACCCCTCGCTTGCTCCCCCAAGCAAGCTTGCTGGTGCAGCCGGTGCGGCACTGCCATCCGCAGCGCGGTCAGCGGCGGGGGAATGAGCGTCGTCGCGCACGCAGGGGGGAGTGCCAGCAGTGCCAGTGTGTGTAGCATCCGCCTCCCTCGCACTGCCCTCCGCTACTTCCCCCACCCCCGCACTGGCCCCCACACTACACGCACCCACACCTCCCTGCCCTCTTATCAGCTGCTCCTCACTGCAATCCCCCTTTTCGGGCTCCTTCCTGTTTTGCACGCTCCCACGCCCTCGCCCATGCACATGCCCCTCCGCTCCCCCCTGCCCCCTGCCGCTCCCCTCGCTCGCGCGCAGCAGCAGTCCACTCGCCAGCCCTTTCTGCCCAATCACAGTGCTTCCCGCCCTTCCCACCGGCTCTGCCAAATCCGGTGCTGCCTCCCCCTCCCCCAACCACCTCCTGCCCCTTACCTCTCCCCGTGCCCCTCGTCCTATGCCCCTCGCGGCACCCCATCCGCCCATGTCTCGCCAAGCCCCCGTACTTGCAGCCGCGCGCATCGCGCTGGGGGCGGCAGGGCGGTCTCTGGCTTGCGGGGGCCGTGGCAGCGGCTCACCAGCGTGGGGAGGCTCACTGCACGCCCCTCGCCAGCGGCCCTCATCACCCCCTGCCCTCCCTTCCCACCCCTCACCCCCTGCCCTCCCTTCCCACCCCTCCCCCTCTCCTCCTCCTCTACTCCGCCCCTCCCCATGCCCCCTGCCCCTCTGCCCCACATCACTCCCTGCCACACCCCTCCCTACCCCACCGCAGCTGCTCAGCCGCCCCATCTCCCTTTCTCTCACCCTCCGCTCCACCTCCCTTCGCCTCTCACTCTCCCTCCAACCTCCCTGCCCCACCCACACATCTGCAAACAATCCCCCTCTTCCTTCACCTCCTCCTCCTCCTCCTCCCCATCCCTCTCCCCCTCCCTCCTCTCCCTCTCGGGTGGGCGGAAGGGGGTCGCTCGTGGGTGCTTGGCAGAGGCGCTGAGAGGCTGGAGCGAGGGGCTTAGGGCAGGTGAAGGGCGGCTGAGAAGAGGCGAAGGGGGGCTGAGAGGAGGCGAAGGGGGGCTGAGAAGAGGCGAAGGGGGGCTGAGAGGAGGCTAGGGGCGGCTGAGAGGAGGAGGGAGGAGGCGGGGGGAAGGTGAGGGGACGGTGAGAGGAGTCTACGGGATGCTGGCAAGGGGGATGGGGAGCGTCGGTGGTGGCGTGGGTGATGTGAGCAGTAGGGGGTTGGGCACCAGCCAGGGGATCGGCAGCAGTGGGGGGGTCGGCAGCAGGTGTGGGGGGTTGGGCAACAGCGGGGGGAAGGGCATCAGTGGAGGGATGAGCAGCAGTGGAGGGAAGGGCATCAGTGGAGGGATGAGCATCAGTGGAGGGATGGGCAGCACCTGCAGGGCACGGAAGGGGGATGAGAATGGAAGGAGGTGAACAAGAGTGGGCGGCACTGTAAGAAAGTACCGAACCGCTTCGAGTCCAAGTTTGGTGCGGGTTGAATCGTAGCACTAGGTGGGGTGACGTCAAGTTTTGAGCTCAACTTCCGGCGTTGCGTTGTAGTGGTTCCATCCACTGCGCCGGGACACGGTTCGATCCAAACCGGTTGGGAGGGACGGGATAGGGGGAGTTCCAGTGGTTTGGTCATTGCGATGTGGTGATTGCAGGATGTGCTATGAGGAGGATTTGAAGGCCACTCTGGTAGGTACATATGACCAGAACTTTGAACCCTGTTCGGTTCGACTCCAACACCTGAATGGTCGACTTTCAAACCCCAACATCAAACACCTCAACTGCCCAAAAATGTTTGACCACGTTTGGGCATTAACCATGTTCGATTTGAACATGTTAGATTTTGCCCTTTTCTCGTGGCTACTGGTAGGAAAATGATGGTGCGAGTGGGACACAGGAGTCCACCGTGGGCCCATTCACTGAATTGGGATTGGCAGTGGCCCCTTGGGTGCACACATGGCAGCAGATTCACGGGATAGTCACTCCACACGCCCATCTCCCCCATCCCGTCTCCCACATCACTGTTTCCTTGCTGAGTCTTACCTGTCTGCTCTCCCGCGACTTCTCGCTCCGCATCCCATTCCACTCCTCCCACCCAGCCACCCATTCCTTCACCTTCCCCCATCCGCACCTCCTCCTTCCCCTCCTCATTCCCCCTGCTCATCTTCCTCATCTCCTCACCCTCCTCCCCTCGATTCTCCCCCTGCCTCCTGTTCCTCCCCTTCCTCTTCTTCTCCCCGCCCTCCCGCGCTGCCCGCCGTGCCTCTTTCTGTCGGCGGCGCTCAACGCGGCTGACGAGCTGCGCCTGCAGGGCGGGGTCCAGCTCGTCTGCCAGCTCGTCCGCCCCCGCCGCCACTGCTGCCACCTGCCGGGGCAGGGCGCACACCATGGGGGCAGGGCGCATGAGGGGATAGGAGATGGGCATGGAGAAGAGAAAGAGGGGTAGAGGGAGGGACGTGAGCAAGGAAAGGGACGACGAGGCACGCGATGCGGATCAGGAGGGCGCTGGACTGAACAGCGTTACAGCATGAATAGCGTTACAGCATGAACAGCGTTACAGCATGAACAGCAGGATGAGCTTTGGCTCCTCTGGTTCAAATTGGATAGATTCTGCAGCAAGCCGCCTCACCCCGTTGCCGCCTCACCCCGTTGCCGCCTCACCCCGTTGCCGCCTCACCCCGTTGCCGCCTCACCCCGTTGCCGCCTCACCCCGTTGCTGTCTCACCCCGTTGTCGCCTCACCCTGTTGCCGCCTCACCCCGTTGCCGTCTCACCCCGTTGTCGCCTCACCCCGTTGCCGCCTCACCCCGTTGCCGTCTCACCCCGTTGCCGCCTCACCCCGTTGCCGCTTCACCCCGTTGCCGCCTCACCCTGTTGCCGCCTCACCCCGTTGCCGTCTCAACCCGTTGTCGCCTCACCCCGTTGTCGCCTCACCCCGTTGTCGCCTCACCCCGTTGTCGCCTCACCCCGTTGTCGCCTCACCCCGTTGTCGCCTCACCCCGTTGTCGCCTCACCCCGTTGTCGCCTCACCCCGTTGTCGCCTCACCCCGTTGTCCCCTCACCTGCTCGTGCCCCCCGCTGAGCATCCACTCCACGAATTCCGCCGCCGCTGCCCCACCGGTGCCCTCCACCCCCTTTTTCTGCACCATCTGCTTCATATCGGTCTTGTTCAGCTGCCATGTGTCATGTGCCATGTGCCATGCGCCATGTGCCATGTGCCATGCGCCATGTGCCATGCGCCATGTGCCATGTGCCATGTGCCATGCACCATGTGCCATACGCCATTGCCATACGCCATGTGCCATGTGCCATGTGCCATGCACCATGTGCCATGTGCCATGCACCATGCGCCATGTGCCATGTGTCATGTGCCATGCGCCATGTGCCATGTGCCATGTGTCATGCATGCGCCATGTGCATGCGCCATGTGCCATGCGCCATGTGCCATGTGCCATGTGCCATGCGCCATGTGCCATGTGCCATGTGCCATGTGCCATGCGCCATGTGCCATGTGCCATGCGCCATGTGCCATGTGCCATGTGCCATGCGCCATGTGTCATGTGCCGCACGTAGACGCCATGCACGTGCACGAGGGGGGAGGAAGGAGAGGTGGTTGGGGGGGTGTGGGAGAATGGCGTGTGGTGGGGACGGGGAAGAGGAAAGTGTGCTTGGCTCAAATGGGTGCTGCAGATGGGTGCGGATGGGTGCGGATTGGTGCGGATTGGTGCGGATTGGTGCGGATGGGTGCGGATGGGTGCGGATGGGTGCGGATGGGTGCGGATGGGTGCAACGGAAGCATTTGAGAACCTGCATGAAGAGCGGCAGCTTGTGAAGGGCATCGTCTCGGTTGAAGCCCATGCCACACACCGCAGCCAGCACCGCCTCCTCCACCTCCGCCCGCCATGCCTCCCCGCCCCTCCCGTCCCGCCCTCCTTGCATGTCCCCCCCCTCCCCCCCCCCCCTGCGTGTGCGACGTCATGCACACCCCACCGAAGCCGCGCCTCCACGGCTGCCCGCGCTGCTTGGCGGCGGCGCACCCGCACCGCACCTGCGCCCTCAGCGCCGCTCGTGCTGGCAGGCGGTTCTGCTGGACAGGCGGATGGCCGCGGCGGAGTGCGAGGGGCGGGAGGGTGCGGGCGCGAAGTGGAGAGTGGGCGCGGTGGGCGCGCACGTGCGCAGGCAGGCAGCTAGCGAAGACGGGGAGCAGCGAGTGGAGCAGCGCGGTCAGCAGCGCAGGCGAGGCGGGTCGCAGGGCAGGCGAGGCGGGTCGCAGGGCAGGCGAGGCGGGTCGCAGGGCAGGCGAGGCGGGTCGCAGGGCGGCGGCGAAAGGGAGGGCAGGTAAGACGTGGGAACGTTCGAAACGGGAGAGAGAAGGCGGAGGGAAAGGGGAGTGGGGAGGCGGAGGGTAGAGAAGCGCCGTCGGAGGGGGGCGGCGTCGGGGCGAGGGCTGGCCGTGTGGCGGATGGCGAGCCTCGCCTGCCTCGCTTGCCTCGGCCGAAGCCCAACTTCTCACCTGGCCCCTCAACCTGACTCCATGTCGCTCTCGAGGCGCGAAACAGCACGCGGCCCAGACAAGCAGTTTGATAATATTTACTATTTATTCACATAAACTTTGACGGATTAATTAAAAAGGCCTGGATTTCCAACCAATCACTAGGTTGCCATAGTAGTAATTCAATCTAAATCCAAAACCAAATGTAAATCCATGTCTGCCTTAGGGCGTATCTCTGGTTCGGGTCATGAGCACTGTTCCGGGCATGCGCGATTTGCGGATGACCCAAACAACATAAAACGCCACTTTGGGTCCTCGGAACTTATGCGACCCCCAAATTGCCGCGAGGGTTTTCGCGACAAAATCACGCTCCCCACAACAGTCGCATCCAATAGAGGGTTGACATTCATCTTTCTAAAGATTATTCGCGACACCCACGCAAAATCACGCGACACCCTCCGAAAAAGCACAATCGTCAAAATTCCCGGCGTGAATCCCCAAATGTTGGGAGCGCGACGCGGGAAATGTGAGTCACATCTGTTGGAAACAAGTGATTTATAACGCTTCTGTCATATCGAAGCTTCGACACAAAACGGAACTGACTACAGCGAAGAAGCACTCGAGTCAACCAAGGCAACCGTCAGAGGTTGCGCGAAGGTCAAAGGTCTCCGACCTTTGACCTGACGAAACGTACAGTGCGACAGCAAGGACACATAACTGACTCGTTACAGAGCAGTTACCCGAGTCGGCACTGTATCGAACCGCAACAGCAAAAACAGTTAAAATAGAACTTTCAATATTCCTTGTAATCATATAAAAGCCTTGTACTTCTCTGCTATTATCAACTTATCTTGTTCTCACACACTAGTACAAGGTGGTTCACGACAATTCTTTGTTAAAACGCTTCCGCTGTTACAACTCGACGTCAACACCCGATCTTAGTTCTGAAAGTTCCTAAGGGCTTCTCTCATCCCAACATGGTATGAGAGCAAGGCAGGACAAGATCACTTTCTATTTTTTTACAATACAAGTCATGGCTACACAAAAGGAGAGGAGCTCCTCCAACGGATCTCTCGGCACCACCCCTACTCCACCTCCAGTCTCCGGCCTACAGACAGAAGTGTTGGAAACAGCAGTAGAAAGTTAGAAATGAGAAAGAGAGAAAGAGGGGTTGCACTAGCAGGCAGTTGAGTACATATAGGAAACCCTAGATTGGGTTGTACTCACTATTGAGTACCCCACTGCAGGCTAGACAAATATAACATTCTGACACACCCCCATAGCCAAAGTGGGGTGTAATCAGCACAGCAAGCAAAGCAAAACAAGCTCAGGGTGGATCACAAAGTCACCACACATTCTGAGCACAAGTACAAGAAGTAGCAGTTTATAGGTCACAAATATAAGCAAAGCTAGAGGTAGTCACAAACGGTAAGTGAGGAGGAGGAGGGACTGTGAGAGGAGAGGAGATAGGAGACAACAGGTGAAGCTGCAGAAACACGGGCAACAGGAGCGGCGCGCACTGTGGCTACCGGAGATTGTAGCCTCCAGACTACTGGAGTAACTGGCTCCGCGGCTAACTCTGAGCGGCAGGAGCAACGGACCCACGGGCGACTGGCGCAGCAGGCTCGCTGGGCTACCGGAGATTGTAGCCTTCGGACTACTGGCTCTGCTGGCGACACGACGGCTACCTCCACCCAACCTCCCTCTACTGCCACACCCCCCCTTCACACACCCCCTGCTGCACCCCTAGGTTCACTCACACTCCACCCCCTAGCACCACTCCGTCGACTCCCACACACCCACCCCCCTCAGCGGCAGCTGCAGCAGTGGGAGACGGAGTAGGAGGAGGAGCAGGGGATGCCACACACCCGCCACCCCCCAGTCGCCACCCCCAAACCCTAACACAGGGTAGGGCCGCAGCAGGGGCGGCAGCTGGGCAGGGCCGTGACGAAGACAGGGGCAGGGACGGGCAGGGCAGGGCCGGGCAGGGCCAGGGCAGGACGGCAGGGCCAGGCAGGGCCGCAACGAAGACGAGAGGGGCCGACGCGCGGCCCCCCCAGGGCGCCGCGACGGGCGACGGGAATGGGGGCCGCGCGGGCCCCCCGGGCGACGAAACCGCCGTGCGCCCCGGGGCGCGCGACGGGCAGGGCACCGCCGCGCGTCACGGGGCGCACGACGGGCAGAGTAGGGCGTCGCGCGGCCCCCAGGGCGGCGCGACGGTCAGAAAACCGCCGCGCGCCTCGAGCGCGCGGCGGGAAGAAAAAAGGCCGCGCGCCCAGCAGGCAGCGTGCGCCCGAGGCGCGCGATAGACCGAGTAGCAGCAGCGAAAGTATTGGGTGGGCCCATCCACAGGATCGACCCGTGAGGGTCGACCTGCTCTGATTCCATGTTGGAAACAGCAGTAGAAAGTTAGAAATGAGAAAGAGAGAAAGAGGGGTTGCATTAGCAGGCAGTTGAGTACATATAGGAAACCCTAGATTGGGCTGTACTCACTATTGAGTACCCCACTACAGGCTAGACAAATATAACATTCTGACAAGAAGAAGGCACAAGACCAGCTGCAGAGTCAACGGAAATCCCCGGAAATCAAGCGGCAGGCTTCGACTCAAACATGATGGAGAAAATTTTCTCCTTCATGTCCTTCTACGAGCAACACCAGCAAGCAGCTCCTGCGCAATCAAACAATAGCAACAACAACAGAGCAACACCAGTGAGTCTTGATGGTTCATCATACGCGCGCGGAAATCAACAACAACCTACCTTTGCTCCGTACGAGCCTCAACGCGGCTCTGTCAGTTTCGCGCCACAACCGCAGTCTTCACCTGGACAAGAGAAGACACTGGACGCGCTTCAGGTGCAATCGCAATTCGCACACGTTCTCAAATTACAAACATCAACGCTTTTCGACGGGAAGGATTTTTATACCTGGTCCTTCGAGTTTGAACTGATGATGGAGGGCGCGCAAATCCTCGGATTCTTCGACGGGTCCCTGCCATATCCAGTACACGGGACACAGTACGACAAGCAGCAATACACGTATCAGTCGCGGATGGCGTATACGATACTTCTTTGAAACTTAACGCCAAACGAGCAACAGAACATTCGTTCTTATCGAGGATACGGCAACTCCGCCGAGCTGGCATACGACCACCTGAAGAGCTTGTATCAAGCAACAGACAGCGTTAACCAGAGTCGTCTCATGGCACAGTTAACAACAGTGGAAATGAAACCCGGAGAAAAGGGAATGGCTTATATTAGCCGTTGTCGCGGACTGCGCGACAGACTCCTTCGATGCGGAGGGTCAATTTCGGAAGAAGCATTTGTAACAGTCATCATCGCCGGCCTTGGTCCTCATTGGCGCTCCACTCGAGCACTTCTTCGAGCTCACGGGAAAATCTCCGAAGCAGCACTCTGCGCCGAAATCCACGCTGAACAGTAAGATATGGACCTGCACGAAGAACGACACAAGAAGAAAGTATTAGCACCAGAGTTCGCCTTCGACACTCAACGACGCTACAACAACAACAACAACCAACACAATAACCGACAAGTACAACAGTACGTCCCACCGTTTTGTCACCTTTGCAAGACGTCCGGTCATCCGCGCACACATTGCCCGAATCAGCAGCAGTCGACAACACCGCAATGTCAACTTCGGCCTTCAAGCAGCCAAGTAACTTCCACGGAGACACATCCCGCCAGTCAAGTGCAAACTTCAACATCTTCAACATCGCAATCTGCACAAGGAACAAGAAATATCGTTAGCTGCACGACAAGAACGACGGACTCCTGCATCACCGGATCACCACCCTACTACTCACCAGAAGACCAACTTGATGAAAGGACTCCCCGCCGCGAATCACTGGAGCCCAATCCAACATATGCAGCTATCGCCCAGAGCGAGCCGTCTGGGCAAGACACCTGGTTCTTGGACAGTTGCTGCGGACAACATATGTGTTCCTCAAGCCGTTTCGTCCAACAAGAGCATCAACTTCAGCGCGAAGTCGTCATCACTGTGGCCAACAACCAGAACCTGCACACACGACGACAAGGCGTAGTACAACTTCAATCTCGAGAGACTAACGTCATCTTGCAAATGTCTAAAGTGTTGATTGCAGAAGGACTTGGCTACAACTTACTGAGCGTCAGCCAACTGATGGCGAAGTGGATCCATCTTGAAGCAGATAGTACCACACAGGAGTTCAAGCTTTTCCACGGTCGAGGAGGGCTCTACATCGGCAAAGCAGTCTTGAAAAATAACGTCTTCGTCCTTGACTTTGTACCAGATCAAGGAACGGCCGATAGCGACGGCATCGTCAACTTCGCCTCCTGGACGCACCCACCGGACCTCGATCCTGACTTCAGCCCCGGAGGGTTCTGGTATTCACATACCATACCTGAAGCAGAAAGAACACGTGCATTAGCAACAATCCGACAAGAAGCAACTACATCGACAGCAGCAGAGACAACATCGGCAACACCAACAACACTTACAACACCAATCGCGAGCTCTTCGACGGCATCACCACCCATCGACGACACTCCACCGACTCCCGCGCAGCAGCTAGCTCCCACTCCACGAGAAGTTCACAGAAGCGCCAACCTCACCGCCGCCTTTTACTCCAACTCCAACCTGTATAGGCGCTCACCCAGACATCGTGCAAGTGAGTCCCTGTGGCACGAACGACTAGGACATCCAAGCAACACCACGTTAAACAACACAATCAAGGCAGCAGTGCTCGACAAGGACTCACTCCTTCTACCCGACGGCAGAGAACTCCAACGAGTCCGCGGAACATGCTTTACTTGTCCCGAAGCCGACTTACCGCATCAACCGTTCTCCTCTCACC